GACGAGTACTGTCCCAACCACCGCGTCGCTGTGCATCACCATTGGTAAAAGGAGCGCGTATTTGAGCAGCGCGCTGGAAAACACCAACTCCACGTCGACGTCCGTGAGCGGGTTGTTAAGAACGCGTTTCTGTATTTTTGGCGCCAATGGGCTTTTTAGGGGGGCGGAAATGCGGGGGGGGGTATAATGTAACGCCCCCCCCCGCATTGGTTCCGGCACCACAACCGACGAGCGACGACGACGACGACGCGACCGGTATATAGGTGGCGACCTGCCCACGGCACCACAATGCTCGCGTGCACCACAGCGCGCGTGTACACCACAGTGCTTGCGTACGCAGCAACAGCCGTGTGCGACGCAGCGTTTGTGTACACAACAATGCTTGGGTGCACCACCACGCCTGTGCAGACCACAGCGATTGTGTGTAACACCGCGGCAAGCATGTGCAACACAGCGCTTGTGTACACCACGCGGCTTGTATGCACCGTAACGCCTGTGCACGCCACTGCGCCTGTGTACACCACAATGCTCGCGTGCACCACAGCGCGCGTGTACACCACAGTGCTTGCGTACACCGCAACAGCCGTGCGCGACGCAGCGCCTGTGTACACTACAGTGCTTGCGTGCACCACAGCGCCGGTGTACACCACAGCGAATGCAACACCGCGGCAAGCATGTGCAACACAGCGGTTGTGCACACGACAATGCTTGAATGCACCGCAACGCCTGTGCACACCACTGCGCCAGTGTACACCACAATAGCGTGTTCCACAGCGCGCGTGTACACCACAGTGCCTGCGTACACCGGCAACAGCCGTGCGCGACGCAGCGCCTGTGTACACCACAGTGCTTGCGTGCACCACCGCGCCAGTGTACACCATATCGGGGTTGGACAGACCTCCCTTTAGTAACACGTGGTTTAGTGAAAACGACCTGACGCCCAAACCTGGCGGGCGCAAGCCTGGAAAATAACGTCCGCGGCGCCCTCTCGAGAACCGAAAACGGACAATTCACTAATCGACGTGTCACTGTTGGGGGTTCTGTCCACCCCCGACCATAGCGAATGTGTAACACCGCAGCAACCATGTGCAACACGGCGCTTGCGTGCACCACAGTGCTTGCGTGCACCGCACCGCCTGTGCACACCACTGCTCCTGTCTACGCCTAAGCACCCGGGCGCATGCAGCGCCAGTATACACAACAGCGCCTGCGTGCACAAGGCAGGTAGAAAGAGCATGCCGGTGAGGATCTGCTGCGGACAACTAGACGCCACGCCAGAGGAGTGCTGACAATAGAATGCGACGTTCTTCCCTCCTCCCTCCTGCGCCACCTGCACCTCCTCCTTCTCCTCCTCCTCCTCCTCCTCCCTATGAGGATCCCCAGGATAATCCCAATGCGGACCAGGCGCCTATGCGGACTTCTATGCGGACGCCGATGGAGATCCGGATGCGCACGGCGACAGTGCCCGGAGCGCACTCGGGGGGGAGGGGCGTTACGTTGTAGGGGGGGCTGGGGACTATAGACTGTAATGCCCATTATGCCCCAAGCAATACAGAAACACGTTCTAAGGAGCAGAACTCTATACATCGACGCTCTTTCCGTCCCCGCACTGAAATTCGAACAGGAAAGCGGTTCCTGGTGAATGCGGAATACTGGTATGTAATTTTCGCCGCTTTCCAGGAAAGCGGAGAAAAGTATACACCATGAAACCCGACGTCGTCCGCGACCCTCGAAAGTCCTGGGGTTGAAAAACAGCCGGCCTCTGGTAATGTATATGCTCCAGTTTCCAAGCTGTGCCCTGCCTCGGAACCACGCTTTTAAACACCTCAAGGGGCAACAACATCCCGACATCGAACGGCACGCCAGTGTATAGAAGCTCGGCTCAGAACGAGTGGGATGCGCACGGCCGCGAGCGCCACGTCGCTGACCACCATGACGGGCACCAGCCAAGCCTCGTGGAGCAGCGCGTCCACGAGGCTTGGCTATTGCCCCGTATACTCGCACCCCGACGTTGGGCAGCACGTCGCTGACCACCACGGCAAGTAACAGCAGCGCATCGCTGAACAAAACGGAAAAGAGCATCAACGCCCCGTCGTGCAACAGCGGGAGTGGCACTGCCGTGAGTACCGCGCCGCTGAATCGCACGCCGCTGAACCGCTCCCGAGCCCAAGACCGGGACCAATACTGGGTCGAACACCAAGCCACTGACCACCACGACGGGCACCAACCGCGCATCGGCGGGCAGCACGTTGGGGAGCGGCAGCTCGACCCTGACGACCACGAGTGGGACGAGTGCCGCCTCGAGTTCTACCCCGTGTCCTAGTAGGTCCATGGCCCAATACTTCCACGATCAGCTTGGCCCAGCCGGGGTAGAATGCGGGTATCGGCGCATTTCTACGAGCGGCATTGGCCCACTGGAGGTGGGATTCGAGCTCCGACCCACACGTCGGGGGGACCAGCTCGACACTGATGTGCAAAGAACAGAGACCGCCTGGATCGCCCATCGTCAGGCCCAATCGCCCGCGCGCCATGGGACCTCTCCTCAGGCGTGAGACGAGGCGTGTATAGTTTCCCACCAGTAGCACGCCAAGGTTCCTCTCCACGTCTGGGCGAGGCGCGCGAGCTGTTTGCTGTTTCTCTGTTGCTCTGTGCGTTGGCCCGCTGCGTGGGATGGTCCAAGGCGGCGCCGTCCTCTTCTCTCGGCGCGCATGCCAAAGCGTGCTACAAGCTGGTGCCTCTCTTAGGTACGAGGGCGCAAATGGGCCTTATAGCGGCCTGATCATCGCCACCCGCCCTGATTTTTCAAGCCGGGGTCCAATATGACCGCGCCAGGGGGAAACAAATACACCACCCCTGTTCCCTATGCGGCGCCTCCCGCTAATGCCAGGACGGTCTGCAGGGCGCTTCAAACCTGGGGTCGGGGCCAAGGCTGACACGCGGCCCGCAGTGCTGCGATCCCCCTCCCTCTCTCCCTCATCCCCCCATTGCTCCTCCTCCTCCTACTCCTCCTTCTCCTTCTCCTCCTCCTCCTCCTCCTCCTTCTCCTCCTCCTCCCCTCTCCCTCCCTTCCTCCTCCCTCCTCCCCTTCTCCTTTCCCTCCCTCCCCCGCCCTCCCTTCCTCCTACTCCTCCGGCTCCTCCTGCTCTCCCTCCCTCCTCCCGCCGTCGTCGGCGGCAGCGGCGTCAACGGATGCGTCGCAGGCGTCATTAACAACGGCCCGACTGCGGCCTGCGTCGCCGAGCGCGACACGCTCAGCAGGCACCCGTGCCACATCTGAGTGCCCTCGAGGGCCTCAGTCAACCCCTGGGCGACCTCCTCGGCAGCGGGGCGACGAAAGCGGCGGCGGCGACGAAGACGACCGCGCCCTCCCTCCCGCTGCTCCGCCTCCACCCTCATCCTCCTCATCCTCTTCCTCCTGACACCTGCACCAGATGGCTGCATAGCCTCCTCCTCCTCCTCCTCCTCCTGCCTCCTCCTCCTCCTCCTCCTCCTCCTCCTCCTCCTCCTCCTCCTCCCCCGCAGCTGCGCCTCAGCTCCAGCTCTCCATCCTCATTTTCCTCCTCGTCCTCCTCCTCTTCGTCTTCTTCTTCACCCTCAGGTGAGGGAGATGGGGGGGAGAGGGAAGCATCAGAAGAGAGATGGAGAGGAGGCAGAGGAGGAGGAGGAGGAGGACAAGGAACATGAGGAGAACGATAGTGAGGGGGGGGAGGATGGGAGGGGGTGGCTAGGTGGCGGTGGGCCCCAGAGTGACTTTGAAGGTCTTCCCTCCCTCTATCCCCCCCCCTCCTCCTCCTCCTTCTCCTCCTCCTCCTCCTCCTCCTCCTCCTCCTCCTCATAGTGTTGTTGAGTATGCTGTTCCTTCGTCTCCTCCTCCTCCTCCTTGTCCTTCTCCTCCTCCTCCTCCTGCGTGCTGTTTCGTCGTCTTCCTCCCCCCTCCTCCATCCCAAGCTACCAGCTCATCTGCCGCCTCCTCCATATATTCCTCCCTTTGCTCCTCCTCCTCCTCCTCCTCCTCCTCCTCCTCTTCCTTCGCCTAGGCCTTCTCCTGCGCCATCTCCTCATCCCCTCCTCCCTTTTCTCCTTCGGCTCCACCCCAAGGTCCAACTCCGCCTCCTCCACAAACTCCAGATTCTCCTCCAGCTCCCGTCTTCTTACCACATGTGATGATACAGACGAGGTGCTGACTAATTGGAACACGCAGCCCCTGGGACGCACAGCCACACTCAAGTTCCAGAGCCCCAGAAGAGCTTACCAGAGCAGCGGGTAAAGCCAGCTCCCCTTCCTCGTCCTCCCCTTATTTGCCTTCTCCTCGAATTATCCCTCATCCTCCTCCTGCTTCCCTCCTCGGTGGAAAGGTTGATGAATGCGTACCCCTTGCACATCTTTGTGTGGAAGCAACGGGGCAAGTAGAAGTAGTCATACTCGCCTGGTAGGATCGCAAGAAGAGGGAGGACCGCGACAAGGGGGGGATGGAGGCGGAGGGGCAGGAGGGAAAAAGGGGGAGAGGAGCGGGGTCATGAGCTCAACGAGGATGAGGATGAGGATGAGGATCAGGGTGATGACGATGACGATGATGATGGTGATGATGCTGTTGAAGATATTGATGCTGATGCTGATGCTGATGACGATGATGATGAGGAGGAGGAGGAGGAGGGGGAGGAGGAGCAGCATGAACGGGAGGAGGAGAAGAGGGATGAGGATGGCGAGGGAGGATTGCGAGGATGAGGGGTAGGGCGAGGAGGGGGGCAGCCAGAGAGGAGGAGGAGGAGGAGGAGGAGGAGGAGGAGGAGGAGGACGAGGAGGAGGAGGAGGAGGAGGAGGAGGAGAGGAGGAGGAGGGGAGGAGGAGGAGGAGGAGGAGGAGGAGGAGGAGGAGGAGGAGGCGAGAGTGGATGGCCGTCGTATCCAGCAGTGGAGATCAGCGCCTGGAAATTGGCCTTCGTGTAGTCCGACGGGATGTGCCTGAGGTAGAGTGTCACCTCGGATGGACTGGCGACGCGCCTGTGGAGAGAAACAATATTGGTGACGCTCAACGAGTTGCTTCCGAAATTGGCACTTGTCGGTCGAAAGAACTGGGTAGAAGCATAAAGTAGGAAGGCGTTGGATGGAGTTGAAGTAGGAACGTTGGTAGCAGGTGGACGAGGGGGGGAGGAGGATGGACGGGAAGGAGAAGGGGAGGAGATGGACGGAAGAGCGGGGTGGCGAGCATGAGGGGGTGACGGGGGGAGGAGGAATGAGGAGGATGGAGGGAAAGGGAGGGGGAGGTGGGCGAAGGAAGAGGGGTGGCGAGGATAAGGAGAGGTGGAGAAAGAGGGGGAGGAGGAAGAGGAGGAGGAGGTGGAGGAGGAGGGGGAAGGGAGGAAATGGAGGTGAAAGGGGGAGACAGGGGAGGACGAAGGGACGGAGGTGGAGGGTGTGCGAGGAAGTGTGCCAAAAATGAGCGGGCGGACGGCATGCGAGCGTTGACTGGGGCCGTCGGTGAAACTCCCTGCTGGGCATCCGTACGAGGGGTGCGCCGACATTGGCACAAGACAGGCACGCGGTGCACGGACGTTGCCACTGTGGGACGCGAGCTCCTCCTCCTCCTCCTCCTCCTCCTCCTCCTCCTCCTCCTCCTCCTCCTCCTCTTCTCTCTCCCCCTCCTACTGCTCCTGCTCCTGCTCCTCGTCCTCCTTCTCCTCCTCCTCCTTCTCCTCCTCCCCCTCCCCCTCCCCCTCCCGCTCCTCCTCCTCCTCCACCTCCTCCTCCTCCTCCTTTTCCTCCATTTCTCCTTTTCCTCCTTTTTCTCCTTTTCCTCCTTTTCGTTTTTTTTTTACTCCTTGTCCTCCTCTTCCAACTCCTCCTTCCTTCTCCTCCTCCACCTCCTGCTCCTCCTCCTGCTCCTCCTCCCCTTCCTTTTCCTCCTCCTCCTCCTCTCTCCTCACTCCCGTCATGCGAGCGTTGACTCTGATGTCAGAACCTTTTCGCGGGTGCCGGAGTGGGCGGTTAGCTCTGGAGCCGCAGGTGGACCTCCCTGTGGGACCCGAAACGCTGGAAGCCACAGCGAGCGGGAGACTGCCTGCGAATGTTGCCACCAAGGCCGCAAGCGGAGCTCCCTGTCGGTTACGGAACGTGCGAGGCGTGTGCCCACAAGTGCTGGGGGTCGGTTTGTGTCACTTGGGCCGTAGGTGGGGCCCCTTGTCACTTGGGCCGTAGGTGTCGCTTGGGCCGTAGGTGGGGCCCCCGTCTAGAACCCACCACAATAACTGTATTTCCCTACCTAGGCTCTGCCTAGAAAGGTTTTTACTCTCTGGGCTTAAAGGGGCCGGGCAGTGGAAAGCGCCCCGGGCGGTTCCCCCAGTATCCGCCCCGCGGTTCCCCCAGTTACGTCCCCTTAGCTTAGCGTTGCTTATATCATCTTGGCTTAGCTGATTTCATCTTAGCTTAGCTTAGCTTCATCTTAGCTCAAGTGTATCCTAGCTTAGCTTACCTTCATCCTGGCTTCGCGGAGCTTTAGCATAGCAGAGCACAGCATAGCGAAGCATAGCATAGCGTAGCATAGCATAGCCCAGCATAGCATAGCATAGCGCAGCATAGCATAGTATAGCATAGCATAGTTTGTTAAAATATGCTGCTGATTTTCTTGACTTAACTCGAGCTGCAGATGAGCTACAGAGCTGTTCGGCGCAGTAATCGAAAGGGCATCATCAGGAACGCTAGTCTCAAGTATCTAGATGCCCGGAATCGGTCTGCTACTAGAGCTGGAACCAAAAACCTCTTTCCCTACCTAGGCTCTGCCTAGAAGGGTTCTTACTCTGTAGCTTAAAGGGGCCGGGCAGAGCAAATCGCCCCGGGCGGTTCCCCCAGACCCCTGGGAGCGGTTCCCCCAGTCCCCTGGGAGCTTTAGGTTTAGCTTTAGGTTTAGCTTTCGCTTTAGCTTAGCTTTAGCTTAGTTTTCGCTTAGCTTTAGCTTAGCGTTAGCTTAGCTTTAGCTTAGCTTTACCTTAGCTTTAGCTTAGCTGTACCTTAAGTTTACCTTAGCTTTAGCTTAGATTTAGCTTAACTTTAGCTTAATTAGCTTCAGCTTAGCTTCAGGTCAGCTTTAGCTTAGCTTTAGCTTAGCTGCAGCTTCGCTTTCGCTTAGCGTTAGCTTAGCTTTGGCTTAGCTTTACCTTAGCTTTAGCTTAGCTTTAGCTTAGCTTTAGCTTAGCTTTAGCTTATACTTAGCTTAGCTTTAGCTTAATTAGCTTCAGCTTAGCTTCAGGTCAGCTTTAGCTTAGCTTTAGCTTAGCTGCAGCTTAGCTTTCGCTTAGCGTTAGCTTAGCTTTGGCTTAGCTTTACCTTAGCTTTACCTTAGCTTTAGCTTAGCTTTAGCTTAGCTTTGCCTTAGCTTTACCTCAACTTTAGCTTAGCTTTACCTTAGCTTTACCTCAGTTTTAGCTTAGCTTCTCTTAGCTTTAGCTTAGCTTCAACTTAGCTTCAGCTTAGCTTTAGCTTAGCTTTCGCTTAGCTTAACTGTTACTACTAATGCTGCTTTCCAAGGAGCTCCAACTCCCAGGTAGGGTCGCACTGGGATCGGAGGTTGGGGGGTGAGATCGAAGTGGAACAGAGAGCCCCCCTACCGGGAAATCGATTTCGGTTTCGTGTTCGTGCGTGCCGTGCGGGCGAGGCGAAGCTGCGTGGGCGGGCGAGAGAGAGTCTCCTGTGGCTGAGGCGCGGCCGGACCAAATGTCTCCCTTCCGGGCGGCCGGTGGCCCGCGGTGTCCCGCCGGTGTCCCGCTGGTGTCCCGTGTGGCTGAGGCGCGGCCGGACCAAATGTCTCCCTTCCGGGCGGCCGGTGGCCCGCGGTGTCCCGCCGGTGTCCCGCGGTGTCCCGCGGTGTCCCGCCGGTGTCCCGCGGTGTCCCGCGAGGATGATGATGATGATGATGAGATGATGATGATGATGATGATGATGATGATGATGATGATGATGATGATGATGATGATGATGATGATGATGATGAGATGATGATGATGGTGTCCCGATGAAGATGATGATGATGTCGATGATGGTGTCGATGATGATGATAGTGTCCCGATGATGAGGATGATGATGCTCATGCTGATTATGTTGATGATGATGACGATGATGGTGTCCCGATGATGATGATGATGATGATGATGATGATGATGATGATTCCGATGATGTTGGTGATGATGATGTTGATGGAAATGGTGTCCTGGGGATAATGATGTTGATGATGATGATGATGATGTTGATGATGATTATGGTGTCCCGATGATGGTGCTGATGATGATGATGGTGATGATGATGGTGATGCTGATGGTGTCCCGATGATGATAATAATGAGAATGACGATGTTGATGATGATGTTGCTCACGATGATGATGAAGGTGCCCCAATGATGATGATGTTGTTGATGATGATGTCGATGATAATGATGATGCGATGATCATGATTATGATGGTGTCCCGAGGATGATGACGATGTTGATGACAATGTTGATGATGAGAACGATGGTGATCATGATGGTGTCCCGATTATGATGATGATTCTGATGATGCTGCTGATGATGATGATGACGATGACTGTGTCCCGATGATGATGATGATGATGATGTTGATGATATGATGATGGTGGTGATGATGCTGATGATGCTGATGATGATGATGATGCTGTCCCGATAATGATGCTCACGTTGATGATGATGTTTATGATGATGATGATGACGGTGCCCTCATGATGATGACGATGTTGGTGATGGTGTTGATGTTGATGAAGTTGATGATGATGATGATGATGATGATGATGATGACGTTGATTGTGAGAGCGATTGTGATATCGATAGTGAGATCGATATTGAGACCGAATGTGAGATCGATTGTGTGATCGATTGTGAGATCGATTGTGAGATCAATTGTGAGATCGATCGAATGAGATAGATCGAGTGAGATCGATTGTGAGATCGATCGAGTGAGATCGATCGAGCGAGACCGATAGTGAGATCGATACTGAGATCGATAGTGAGACCGATCGAATGAGACGTTGGTTCCCCCCCCCGAACCTCCTTATCACCCGAAGGGTGGTCGTATAGGGATAATTAAATATTATCCGGCGGCCGTATTGACGGAGTAGCATCCCACCTATGAGGGAAACTGAATCATTTTTTCCCGCGGCGACCGCAGGCAACGCTCTCATGGAAATTCTTGGTTCAAGCACTTGGCGTTGAGAAACTTTATCCTGAAAGCTCCATCCGGAGAAGGATTGTGAAAGCTCAGGCCCCGCGCGGCCCACCCCCAAAATCCATCCTCTGTTGCGTGGACATTACAGAACGATGGCGAATTCTGTATGGTTCCCACTGGAAAAGCCGCCATGCTCGCCTCGCGAGCCGACCAGGCGCCAGCAGGAGTTCTCCCCACAGTGCTAGGCTGACGGTCTCGAGCAAACACGCGAATTCAAACGAAGCAGTTCTTGTTGCCATCCTCGCGAGAAGATGCTTACAACTCCTCCCGCGTGCGGGTTAACACACAATCGATTATTCCGCTGGAGAAACAAGTGGCGCGCGTGCCCTGGCTCTTGCCTCCTTCCTCCAGGAGTTTACTATGGTGGCCGTGGGGGGGAGGACGAACGACGAACGAACGAACGACGACCACGAACGAAAATAAAGAGGTTCGAGCTCTAGAGCACAGCTGTGCAAGATAATACATTTCGAACATTACCCAGCCCGCCCTTTAACAGAGGGAAACTAATCCCACGTCGCCGCGCGTAACGCCCAGGAGTCTTGCCAGCAGTGCGAGGCACACGGCGTTAAGCACACTCGCACATCAAAACGCAGCAATTCCTACTGCCATCCTCGTGGGAATATGCTTACAACTTCCCCGGCGTGCAGGGCAGCCCACAGTAGATTACTCCGCTGGATAAGAAACAAAGCCCCGAAAATGACCCCGCCCGCCCAACAATCGAGGGACACTATTCCCACGTCGCCGCGCGCGCCGGGCAGACACCAACAGGAGCTCTGC